AATAATAACTGACGGGAGACATCTCCCATCACGCAGGGTGCAGTCGCACCTTCACAGATCTCCAGTATCTACTGATACTGATAATGACTCAAAAGGGCCACCACTTACGGGCAATTCATGCCCGTGCCACCTTTTGGGTGGCTTAATCTTCATCAATCAATCAATCGAATAATAACTAGTCTACTTTCAAGTGTGGTCTAGAACAGACACTTGCCAGATACTGTACCGACTCTCAGTGCGCTCAACTCACACCATTGCTCGCCAAAGTATCACCTGCATACTTCTGTATACTCGACCAAATATATATATTCTCTTAGTGTTGTGTTTATTGTCACCATACTTTACGTAACAATAGAACCGTTACAAACATTTACATTTTAGTATATTTTGGTAGCAGTCTTTCTTGTAAACATATTTTGTTGAAGATGACCGAAAGGATAAGATTAAGGATTCTTACCGATATGATTCTATTGATAACACGAGAAGATTCGTGTTAGAATCATTAATCTTACCTGTCGGTCATATCCAACAACATATTTTTATACATATAGATTATTATTCATTGTTATTATTGTAACATTTTGGTATAACTATAGGATTTGTAATGTATATATTGAGTGAGAGAGAGAGAGAGAGAGAGAGAGAGAGAGAGAGAGAGAGAGAGAGAGAGAGAGAGAGAGAGAGAGAGAGAGAGAGAGACCCTCCACAACTCATTATAACTTAGAGAAGGAGTTATAAAGTCTCCACACTGCTGTAGGGGCGACGACGTCGCTGGTAAAGTTCCGCCAGGTTTGGTGTCTGTCTGTCATGTCTGTGTTCCTTAGAGACTCCAGACCTGCCGCGCTTTTGTTTGTTTACTGAGTATTCCTCAGAGTGGGATTGGTGCTATACATGCACACACATGTAGACACACACAGTGCTCTACACACACACACGGTGCTATACATACACGCACACGGACACGCACAAGGTGCTATATGTACACACATTGATCTTTCACGTGTACACACACACACACGTGTTGCTATACTTACACGCATCAACACACACATCTCTTCTCATTCTTCCTCTGAGTGACTCTTACCCTCTTCTAGTTACCCATTAAACACTCCCCTTTATCCCCATTACCCCCCTTACTTTACTTACTTACCTACTTACTTTACTTACATTACCTCTCCCCCTTACCGTCCCTCTACTCCTCCTGCCCAACTTTTACCTTCCTCCTCCTCTTCCATGCCTCAGTACTGCTGACTCAGTGTGTACTTGGCGTAGTGGTGGAGGCACCAGGCCTCACTCTGAGACTATCACTCTCACCCCTCACTCTCACCCCTCACCCAAATAACTGGGGATCCAACCCTACCTAGAACAGGGGGTTCCGAACCTCTCATGTGATTAAGGGCAACCACCTGAGCCCCTCATAGCTGGCAACCATGAGGTCACACAGCCCCCAGTGGTGTGTCACACAGCCACCAGTGGTGTGAGTGTCACACAGCCACCAGTGGTGTGAGTGTCACACAGCCACCAGTGGTGTGTCACACAGCCACCAGTGGTGTGAGTGTCACACAGCCACCAGTGGTGTAATCCTCTACTTTCGTCTCCTTTTGTACGATCCTGTGTAACCTGTCAGATCGTTAACCTCATTATTATGTCATCTGTGAATGAAGAGCCTCGATACTGCGTCATCTGTCTTCATTATGAGACAGACAGACAGACAGACAGACAGACAGACAGACAGACAGACATAGAGGTAGGGAATGATATACCACACCCCCCCTGACCAGACCTACTACAATCACCAGTCTACCTTCATTAGGCCAAAATCTCATTAAGAGGTTAATTAAAATCAGAATTGTAAAACAGACTCTAATATACTGCCTAATTTAAAACCTCTCAAAATCCTAAATTCCCGCCACGATCGTCCATGACAAACTCGTAATTATGGCAGTAAACAACCCAGGAAAACTATCCGGGAGGAACGTTTCATATGCGACGCTTAATAAAACACGCGGAGGAGACACCCATACGCCAGTGTAAGTGTGAGAGAGTGAAGTAGTAGTAGTAGTAGTAGTAGTAGTAGTAGTAGTGGTAGTGGTAGTAGTAGTAGTGGTAGTAATTCTCCGTCGTCAATTATCTCTCCCAGGATTTTCGGATTTTCGGATTTTCTAGGAGAAAGAGAGAGAGTGAGAGAGAGAGAGAGAGAGAGAGAGAGAGAGAGAGAGAGAGAGAGAGAGAGAGAGAGAGAGAGAGAGAGAGAGAGTGAGAGAGGAAGACAAATCACCATATTTATTTGTTCCTTCACATGGCAAGAACCACAACAAACAAACAAACAATTATGTGAACTAAGAACAAATTTAACTAATAAATTACCACATAAAAGTCTCTACAGATTAATATGAGCCTATCCGGATTTTTTGGGGCATTCGGCCGGCTCATTCCGGCTTCCCTAAAACCCCTAAACAATTTAGCGAGGGCGCCGGTCACATTATCATAGCAATTCCAGATTGTCCAAAAATCTAGTGATTGCCTTATTAAAATGATAATTCAGCTCACAGTTGTGTCCAGGGATCATTGAAATGGGCAACCACTCACACGCCCGTGTGAGTGGTTGCTCACACGGTGTCCCTCTACAGTGAGGTGGACAATATGTATACTGTGTACTGTTGTAGTGTGAGCAGTTTAGTGAGAGAGAGAGAGAGAGGAAGTGAGAGAGAGAGAGACATTGAGAGAGAGAGGGAAGGGACAGGGGGAGGATAATGATACAGTATACAAATACAATTAAGTGACATACATGGGGTAGGTATGTCGAGTCCTGCTGACAGTCTTATGATGCTGCTGACAGCCCAGGCAGCAGCCTCTGCCAGATGACAAACAAGGCTGACACCAGCTGACAGCCAGACATGACACTAGATGCCAATTATCCTGGGAGGCCTTATTGCAGCTGACACCCCCTGACAATGGCTGACACCCCTGACAAGGGCTGACACCCCCTGACAAGGCTGACACCCTTGACAAGGGCTGACACCCCCTGACAAGGGCTGACACCCCTGACAAGGGCTGAGACCCCCCTGACAAGGGCTGACACCCCCTGACAAGGACTGACACCCCCTGACAAGGGCTGACACCCCCTGACAGGGGCTGAGACCCCCCCTGACAAGGGCTGACATCCCCTGACAAGGACTGACACCCCCTGACAAGGACTGACACCCCCTGACAAGGGCTGACACCCCCTGACAGGGCTGACAGCAGGGAACACTGACGAGTGCTTCTTCCCTGTCTGTCAGCCTCCCTGGGGTGTCGGGGTAACACCATGCTATCCAGCACCTTATGAGCGAGCACTTACGGTCCAAGGTCTGGTGTCCAGACGCACAAGAGTCGACCCTGTTGACATTTTAACACAATATTGATGGTAAAACATGACAAAAAATCTCGCCACCAAAATCACTTACCTGGTTGAGGGGGGGGGGGGGGGGGGGGGGGTTGAGGGGGGTTGTGGGGGGCGGGTTGTGGGGCGGGTTTGAAGGGGGGGTTGTTGGGTGGGTTGAGGGGGGGGGGTTCTTGGGTGGGTTGAGGGTTCTGGGGTGGTTTGAAGGGGGGGTTCTGGGGTGGGTTGAGGGGGGGGGGGTTCTGGGGTGGGTTGAGGGTTGAGGGGGGGGTTCTGGGGTGGGTTGAGAGGGGGTTGGGGTGAGAAGGAATAAAGAGAGGGTGAGAGTGGGGAAGGAGAGCCCTTGGGAATTACCTTCCGGGTAGGGAAGTCACAGGGGATTGTGTTGGTGGTGAGGTAGAGTGATGGAGGGACACCCAGAGTGAAGGGAGAGAGAGAGAGAGAGAGAGAGAGAGAGAGAGAGAGAGAGAGAGAGAGAGAGAGAGAGAGAGAGAGAGAGAGAGAGAGAGAGAATGTGTGTTTGAGGTAAAGGAAAAATAATTAATATTTAGTTAAAAAAATTTAAGTAAACAGAAAGTTGTCGACGAAAGATTTTTCTTGTCTTTCTTCCCTCCGTATTCTCCGTAATTGGCTCCTAAGCCATTACCTTCCAAAGTTTATAATTACTTTGCGTGTTGCTGTGTGTGTTTGTAAACAGCTCAGACAAAGTGGGAGAGGGACGGGGGGGGGGGGAGCAGCAAACCAGGTCATTTGTTTTTTTTATTTACGCCTGAGTAGTGTTGCCAGTAGGAATTGGTCATTTGGAGCTGTCGTTTAGATAAGGTTTGGTGAGTGTTGGTTCTGGCTATATTGAACCCGGTGATGGACACCTGGTGGAGTGAATACCGCGAGAACAGTCATCACAGCTTGAACACACCACCACCACGAGAACGGTCATCTCAGTTTGAATACTAGTAGCAGTGATAGCAGTTCTAGTAGCAGTGATAGCAGTACTAGTACCAGT